CATGTTGAAGATTTTATATTTATTTGGGGTTGCTAGATAATAAACTTTTACCATGTAAAGGACTAATATTGGGATGATCTTGCAATATGAAGAAGAGAAACAAAGACTAGAAGAGAAAAAAGTTGTCATTATTAGTTCAAGCCATCAAGTCACGTTCAGTGTTAACCTATTCTACATCATCCTCTGCTTTGTTCGGAGAAATCTATTCACTTGCTGCTGCCTTGATTGTCATGTTTCAAAGAAGCAGTTAGCAGGCTAAGAACTTGGAACTTCCATGGAGACACCTGTGAGCGCAGAAATTAATGAGCCTAGAAGATCTATTGGAAATCTGCAACTTTCTTCAAAAATTCTATTGATCCTATGCTCGCTGCGGCAGCACATGTACTAAAATTGCATCGATACAGAGAAGATTAGCATGGCCCCTGCGCAGGGATGGCACACAAATTCGTGAAGCGTTCCATATTTTTACATGGACACAGGGAGGGGAGCATCACACACGGGGGTCTGTCGGGTGGAACTAGGGGAGGGATAGCAGGGGATGGGGAGTTGGGGAGCAATAACATGGGGAGAAATGCCAGATATAGGTGATGGGGTGGAAGGCAGCAAACCACATTGCCATGTATGTACCTATGCAACAATCTTGCATGTTCTTCACATGTACCCCAAAACCTAAAATGCAACAAAATGTCTATTAAAAAAAATTCTATTGATCCTAAATTCAGCTGAAGCACAAAAATTGCTCACAGTTGTGAACTTAAAACACATGCATACCCAACTAAAAAAATGTTTGTTGGATTCATAATCACTGATGTTTAAAATCATAGAACTGTGCCAAAATATTTCTGTGTCAAATGTTATTGGCTTGAGCTTCATGTCAAACCAATATTCAATTTGATTGATTGAACAAATCTTTACTGAGCGGCTTTTCACAATGCATTTTGATGGCGTTGTGAAAGCAGATTGACAAAAGGTGGTGTATAATTTAAGTACCTTACAGTCTGCAGCTTTTCCTGGTAAATAGTTTGTGCCAGAATCTGTGCTCCTTGAAGACAGGATAATGTCTATTTTGTTCATTCCTATATCTTTAACATATAGCACAGGGCCTTACATACAGTCACAAATAAATATTTGTTGAACGAGTATGAATGGCAAATACAATGTGAGAGTAGATAATAAAGGTATCCACTAACTTAAGGAGAGTCTGGACACTACTGCAAAGGTTTCCAGCTTGAACGATCATGGTGCAGTTCATGGAGGCACCATATGACAATAACATTGTGGGTGCTATTTTTTGCTTTGAGTGTTAGAAGCAGTAAATGCCTCCTGGTAGGCCTAATAGCAAAAAGAAAAGGGTTTGTTACAATAGTGACAATCATGTAAAGAGAATGAGTTGTTAAAGAGTCTTAGCCTGTGGTCTGTGCACCCCTGAAGTCCGTAGGAAGGCGTTAGGGACCCACAGACTATGAGCCATCTTTGAGCATGTGGCTGTGGAAAATCTTTTGTCTCTCAGTTCAGCCAGCTTCTGGTTTTGTCCCTTGAGAGTAGGACTAATCACACCAAAGAGATATTTCTTTTTGGTAAGCTGCCTTTGGAAACCATATAGGCCATTGATAGCTTTGAGATGGGAAACATTTCAATGCCAAGTGCAACTTGAATTGGATGGGAAGTCTTGGTGTTCTCTGCACAGATGGAAGGCCTGTGAAGCTGGCACTGCCTCAGTTCTGCTGCCTCACTGAAGAAAGATGCTCCACATGTCATGCTTTCTACACGGGCCTGTGTTGGTGTCAACAGCTCTTCCAACAATCCAAAAAGAGGTCTTTCTACTGCTGTGAAAGTCTTCAACTTCTTCAGAGCCAAGAGCTTGAATTAGTGCCTTTTCAGTAGATCTTTGTTAAGATACAAGAGCACACCATGAGGTTCTTTCCTTTTAAAGAAGTTTGTTGACAATCCAGAGAAGAGATTAAGATGTGATTTAGTTTGGTTAATTTTTTACAATTTTTTAAGAGAAAAAAAAAACTCCTTCTTAGAATAATCTGATGGTGAGAAAATCCAGGACTAGCTCTCTAATGGCTGATATCTTAGCACATAAATTAAACAAATCTTTTGATTGAAAATGCTGAAGTTACTATTAGAGAACCTGCCAAAAAAACTATAAGCTTTTTTTTTTGGCCAAGCAGCTACTGTAAATGAGGTGACTGAAGTCAAATAACAATATGGATTTTCCAACACTGAACGCGAGACTGGTGAGGCCTTGAGTTTCTGGGGACAAAAATTAACAGACACTTGGCAAGTGGCTTATCCCTTATGAAGGTCACTTTTTGTTCAGACAGCCTTAAAATGGAAACAAATCGCTGACATAGATAGCCTTGATGATCTAAGCCTAACAAAGATGACCTCATTCACTTGAGGACAACGGAAATGGCGTCTTATAAATTTAAGTTGAAAATTTTGGTAATTCTTTTTTTTTTTTTTTTAATCCGGAAGGGTGTTTCATGCATTTTTTTTTTTTAAAGAAAAAAAAGAATGAAGGAGAGGAAGAAACGGGAAGAGGGAGAGGGAGAGGGAGAGAGAGCGGGAGTGTTGCTTTATTCTAAAAATGGGTATTGAAAACCTCTTTTATGCCAATAATTGTGCTTAATAATGGCCAACCAATATTTCATTTAAACCTGTGAGTAGGTGTGATGTGGTTACTGATGAGAGTGTATATTTTTTTGTATTTAAAGTGGAGAGTTCTACAAATGTTTAAGTTTACTTGTTCCAGATCTGAGTTCAAGTCCTGAATATCCTTATTAATTTTCTGTCTCGTTGATCTATCTAATGTTGATATTGGTAATTCTTGATTCATGCCGACCCATCAAAGATACTGTGTAGTACTGGAGCTGTAACTCCACTTGCTGGTAGAGATTTTGTGAATCAGGATCTTTCCTGTTATTGACATTAAAATGAAATGTTGAAATTGGTGCAGTATGAAATATTTCAATTCCTTAATCTAGAAAAACTACAAAAGCCTTTTCACAAGAGTGAGAAAACCATACCTTTCTGTGAATGCTGTTTCGGTATTCTGACTATGTATAGGAGCTCAATTTCCAATCCAATGAGATAAAAAGTAAGCACATATTTTGTGTGTATGTGTTTATGAGTATTGTTCTAGGTTGCTGCTTGTAAATGAATTAGATTCTCAGAGGGTTCTAGAGCTAAAAAAATAAAAAATAAGAAAAGGAAAGAAAAACCACTAAGGCAGGGGATGAGCTGATCAGGCAACATGCCCTTGTTTAGTGGGGTCCTCTGCACTTGTTCTGTGGGAGTTCTGTGATATAATTAGCTGTTAGCTTTTCTCACTTCACTTTGCTGAGCAGTGCAGACCAGGGTTGGCTCTGTCACTCACATGACATGAGTTAAAGATACACACATGAAAAGCTTTGTGGCTCAGAATGTGGCTGAAAGTGAATGCAGCAGAACAGGATAGGGGAGCAGGAGATGCAGGAAGCCTGCTTGTTTTCCTCATGTTATTAAAACCACCCCTGGTCTAAGGAGCAGGGAGAATTGAACTAGAGTTTAATATAAAGTTCTACTTGTAATAAAATTAGTGTAGGACCAATATACAGGGAAGCTGTTTCAAATATAGCTGGTTCTCAGCCCTACTTCCTACTTTCTATTTTGCTAATTAGTTCAGAATTGTGGTGAGGTCTCCAGGTGTTCTCAAGGAGAATGGCTGATTACAGATGCCTGGGTATTGGGTTGCAGAGATATTGTGTGCAAGTACAGTCATGACATGTTATTTTCAACCCTCTCTCGTTATGAAGAGGTGACACTATTATAGGATAACATGTGCAAACACTTATTCAAAGTGATATATCCCAGTGTGAGCTGTCATATAGCATAGTGCCTTATGCCTTTCTTTTCCTTGCTGGGTTGATGATATGAAAAATGTTCTAATGCAATTGAAAGGTTCTTGAGCTCACCAAAGCAAAGGTCCATCCATTTGCATCTGAGAATTTGTAAGTCAACCATCTGTAAGAGCAAATATAGGCTTGTCCTCAAATTTTTACATTCTGAAATTTTCCATTTCCTGTTAAGGCCTCTAAGAAGAATAACCAACTAAAATGGCATGGATTTTATATGGTTGAAAGGAAGATACACAGTAATATAACTTGTGACAAAGCTGGTGAAAATAGTGCCTGTCTATTTAACCTTAACAGATGCCTATGAAAGTGCATGCAGATACAGTCTCCAGTCTGTGACGTTTGGGGACATTATTGAAGTCATCAGTGAAACTGCTAGGGTGGATTGGGTAGTGGGGCATACATATCTTTAAAGATGGCATAGACTTGACACTCCTTGGCAAGGTTTAAAAGCCCCCTTCTGATTTAGGACAGAACAAGGCGTAGGGATTCAAACATATACATTTGAATGAAGATCAGGTAGAAGCTGATTAGCGCGAGGAAGTATATAATGGGTGAGAGATCGGTGTGGCTTGCTGATGTTGGGACTTGATAGACGGTGTTAATTTATAGAATTTATCGGCAGGAAGTGATTTCTAATTATGTTGCTTCCTTTTTCCTCCAAATCTGTGACATCATTTTTGGAGGTGCCTAAGATTTTGGATAAGATTTTAGTGCTAAAATAGGCTTTAAGAATAAACCTTCTCAAACACTTTATTCCAGTCATCCTCACTTTCCAGGTGAAGCTCCTCTAGAGACCAACTTGCCCTAAGTCAGTATCTAGTTAGTATTAGGACTTGTACCAAATCAGACCTGACTTCCAAACAAGAGCTCTTTTTCCCTTGCACCAAGTTACTTCCAATTAGGAAAGAGAGAATACAAAGAGAACTATTTTTTATCTTTTATTACTGCATAATAGTAAAATGTTCAATTAATCCATTTTTATATTGCAAACATGCATGCATTCATAAGTGGAGATTATTTTCTTAGTCTGAGGTAAATAAAATAGGGATATGAATGTTCTCTGAAAGCTGAAGGAAACAGAAAAGGTTCCTTTCACATCAGATGGATAATGTGCTGACATGATAACAAGATTTGAAGGAGGCATGTCTCAAACACGAGCGTAAAAACTGAATTATCACGCTCGTGAACCACAACATGGTCAGACAAAATTCTTACTTACAAAACTCCCAAGGTCTTACTTTGTCTTAGGTTATGCTGATATTGGATCTATTATATTCTTAGTTCAATGAAGAAAACACAATAGGTACTCATATGTATTTGTTTAATGAACAAATTAAGTCAAGCATTCACTGGGGACCTAGTATAAGCCAGGCCTGCTGAACATTTTCCAGTCCTCAAGATTCACAACTCCTTTCTCACCTCTCTTAAATCCTTTATAAAAGCCTCGAAAATCCTTTATAAAAAGTCCTCTTTGTATATCTATAGCCATATTATTTGCTTATTTTTCCCATCTGGCATGTTTTAACAACTACGTAGTTATGTGTTCATCAGCAATTACTACTATTTGTATGTTCCAGATTCTCTTAGGAAAGTCTTAAAATTATCAGAGAAGTAATAGCTTGTTTTGGGATTAAAATTTTGTCTACCTGGAGATGAACTTTTGTTTTTTTATTTAAAAATAGTCACGGAACTGAAGTATAGTGGGACTAATTTAAAAATTTTTTTAATACAAGATAAATTAATCTCCAGATAGACAGAACCATGTGAGTTGCTGGAAACTGAGTATGATAAACCTAACACTTTAATGTCTAACAAAGATAACCTCTGATACAGAGAGACAAAAAACTAGGGGCCAAGACACAGTAGTGAAATTGTGGTTAAAAAAAAAAAAAAAAAAAGACCCAGGAAGCTTCAGAAGCCAGTTGATGATTATTTCTTACTTTACAATTAGTGGCTTAGAACATCTTATTTGGTTTGGTTCAAAAGGTTTGTATTCAATTATATGAAACCATCTCACAATACAAGGAAGTAGCTCCACACGGTAGAAGAGAAGACATGGAGGAGACAGGTGGCTTTTGTAGTCGATTTTCAAATATTTATAACAATGTCACTGGAATGGGTTTTCATGAGGACTCACTAGAAACAACAAGATGGAATTTTTAAGGGAGCAGCCTGGATGTTACTTTTGCGGTGGTGAAGTGAGCTCTTCATTTTAGATACACTTAAGCAGGAACTCACCGACAGCTTGTTGCGGGAGGGTAAAGCAAGGACAGATTCCTGCATCATAAATGAGATTGAACTAATACATTCAAAATTTTTCTTATAATTCTAAGAAATTAGGACTTTCTTCTTGGTATCTGGTTGAACTTTGGGATGACTTCTTGCTGCCATTTTGAATAACAAATGAGAAACAAGATCCGCAATTTGCTATTGGCTAAGTATTTCAAAGAGTACATTGTAAACAAATACATCTGATCTTTGCATTTTTCCTTTATTATGTAATTAATATTACTTCTAGTATCTGTTTTTACAGGCCATAGATCAGTAAGAATCTAGGAAAACACAATGTTCATATTTTAAAGGCTCATAACAGCATGCCTGGAAAAGTAGTTCCTGGGATCTCTAAAATTTATATTGAGTTGTAAAAGTAAAGTATGGGCCACAGGTTAACAACCTTGAATTTTGCCCTTAGAATGAGTCTTAGAAAACCTACTTCATTATGAATACATTATTATTCAGTAGCTTCCTTCTGATTGATATGCCCAGAGCTACCTTTTTCTGCAGTCTTTTAAGCACCAATCTTTCATTTTGGCTCTAAAAATAAGATGGGCTTCTCCTCCCTAGTTGGGACATCAATTTTTACCTGCCAATACAGTTTGATGAGCTTGCTTATGCTCTGCTCTCTTCCTCCACCAAGCCAGAACACGTAGTCAGCAATCATGGCGCTCCTAAGAAGAAGGACAGATTTAAAACAAAAACGAACAAATGTATGGAACAGAAGGAAAACCATAATAAGCAGTATATACAAATCCTGAGGAAGATAATTTTTAACATATAAATTTCTCTAGACTAATATTAAGCAAAGCACAAAGCACGTTTTAGAATGTTGAAACTAGGGTTTTTGGGGGGTGTATATAAACTGAAACTATAAAAGAGAAGCAATAAGCTATTTGTCTTCTAGAGGGTTTAAAAAATTTATACAGTGTAGTAAGAAATTTGAAGATTATGAGAATGTTTTGTTTTGATTGCCCTATAGTAAGCTTCAAAGCTCTTATAAAGTGACACAGATTTTATGAACTTTTAGGTCTTCAAATCTAGCATAGCATAGATAGCTACCTATTAGATTGGTATTTAAGCATATGTCAGACTTGACCTCAGTTAAATCTTATTCACTGCTGATTAAATTAGCCTCTGAAAACAGAAAATATAAAATCTCTAATTCAAGGAAGAATCCTCTCCCCCAAACTTTGTGTGTAATTGAATTGATTTTAGTGTCTAGTGTGTACAATTGCTGCATTAGTCTTATTAAGTTGAGGGGATATTAAAAACTTTTGTGCAATGAATATTAACTCATTACTCAGTACCCTTTGGAAAAACAGTTTACTTTTATGACTGTTTCTCTGCTAGGTCTCTCTATTTCTTTTTGCCAGAGATTCCAAATCCAATTAAATGTGACTAGAAGTAATTCCAAATTGTCACATTAGCCAATTAAACATATAATAATCCTGTGTACCTAATCACTAGTACCAAAAGTTTATTTATTTGAGTAGAACTATCACTACGTATCCCTGAATGTTTGTCTTATCTTTGCCTGCAGATATGTGTAGTTTCTTGACATCATTGTAAATTGAATTAGAAATTTTCCTTTTCTAAATATAAGCTGTCTAAGGTGTAGCAACTATAAACTTACTCTGTTAAAAAAATTTAAATGTTTAGATTCTTCTTCAGGACAGACAAAAATTAGGACTAAAAATCAATGGTGAAAACAAATACCACCAACTGGAGGATTATTCAGCTCAATAAATTCATGTGTATATATAGTAGTATTGGAAAGAAGCTGCCCACTGACATTTCAAGATAAACGACAGTAATTTAAGAATAGCTAATATTTTAAGAATCCTTTATATTTCCCAAAGCTCTTAATGATAAGGTAAAGAGAGGTAGGAGGCTTTGATGTGTAAATATGAATGGGGCAGAAACAGATTATAACAGTCATAGACTGTAGAGGGACAAAAGTGCATTTCAAATGTTTGCATTCTGATAGAAGCACTTGGAAACATTTTCTTTTCATGACTAAAAAGAAAGTTCACTTGACATGGAGCTGCCTGTTATTTAATAGAAATTCATTTAATAAATTCTGAATTTAAGAAATATAGAAATTTAATTTTCAAGGACAACACACCCTATATTTATAGAAGTTGGGGACACTTAGGTGACGATTTGGTCAGCACTCTGATTCCTTCTACCATTAGCATTTGGATTTATAAATATGGTTCGACAAACATTGCTTAAGAAGTATACCAGCCGTTAGTTAAAGCAAGGGTGGGCAAACTTTTCCTGTGAAAGACCAATAGTAAATATTTTAAGTTTAGTGAGCCATGTGGTCTCACAACTACTCAACTTTGCTTTGCAGAAGCAGCTACAGACAATACACAAACTAATTAGTGTGGCTGCGTTACAATAAGATTTTATTTACAAAAAGGATATTGGGGTAGTTTAACTCTTCAATAAGAAAATTGGCAGGCTGATCAAGCCATGGGCATTTATATAATTGTCAATCAATAGTTCAATGCAGTGTGTACACATTCCAGCCACAGGGCCCCTTAGATATTTCAATCTGCTATTTTCTCTTCAAGGGACAGCATAACATGTACTAAAATTACTGAGCAGAGTCCAGGAACTAAACTTGACAATTTGAAACGTGCAAAAATGTCAAAGATAATTCTGGATTAATTAATAGTGGCTTGAGTCAAGTCAAAGCTAAATTGATAAGAATTTTTATAATGTTTGTTATTATCATTTTTGGGTGAGGAAAATTGTGAGAGAGAAGGAGGTACATCACCCCAGTGGGTTTCTAAGGTTTTCCTGAATTTTTAATGCTTTTGGTAATTTTGTTTTGTGTTTGCCATTGTAAAATTAGGATTTTTAGCATTTTTATTAATGTTTTATGAAAGTTGCTTTTTCTGTAATATTATGTTGTCACATTGCTACAGTCTTAAGTGCACTTTTTCATCTGGGGGCTCAAATCTATTTTAAAGGAACATAGCTCCAAATTTATATTGAAACCATGAAGAATTAAGATGCATTGAAATTCATTACCTGCCGTACCTCAGTGAAGCATAATTATTATAAGAGCAAAGGAATATTAGAATTAAATAACAAAAAATGATTTCCTAAAGCTTCATATTGGCTGAGATATATTTCAGAACTATGATGTATGTCCTTCAATATGTGGCGTGTATTCATAGAGCTGTGTTCATGTTTGGGACACAATTCAGGTTGTAATTGCTCTAAGTCCCTTTTTCTTCCCAGTGGAAATGGCAGATGTGCTTTTACCACTCGCCTTCCTTTGTCTGGTTCCCTATTGTAGCTCTGCCCTACTGCTCAGCCCTCATGAATTAGTGAAAATTAGTGAAATGATATGAAAAGTGCATGGAAATTGCATTATGTCATGCAATATTTGTGAGGCAAGAGCCATGAGCTTTTCATCATGCTGAATTTATAAAGGGCAAGATAATTAAATGATAAACCCATCGAGCATCTATAAGGAGTCAAGTACCATGTGAGATCCTGGTTCTGGCAGACTCATCCCATGAATCAGATGTAAACAGAAACCCATCATTCTTTCTATTCTCCTTCAGGTATCTCTCTACCATTAGAACAATATCTAGGTGCTAGTCAATGTGATTCAGTTGCTTCCAACTGTTTTCATTTCATTGTCAGGATTCTATTCATCTTATTTTCATTAACCTACTGAATGCTGTACCTGCACTGGAGCTAAAAGATCATGTTAGTCAAACCCTTTTAACTGACAATCAGTGGCTTAACATCTACTAATTTTGAGCCTTTCCGACGTGATAAGCACCGTGTTAAGCACTTTGTGGAGCAGAGTGTAAACCTAACCCACCCACTTCTGCACTAGATCTCATCCAGTTGCGCCTACTCATGGAAACTACTCACCAAGTCTCTCACTATTCTA